GCGTCGCATGTGGCAAGGACTACAGACTATCAAAGACTACAAAGGTAAATCCAGCTGTGCGGTGCCCACCGACACCTCCCTCCCAGACGCACTTAACACATTCAATGCTGTAGCTCAGTTGGTAGAGCATGGCGCTTGCAATGCCAGGGTTGTGGGTTCGTTTCCCACGGGGGGCCAGTATGAAAAATGTATGCACTCACTAACTGTAAGTCGCTCTGGATAAGAGCGTCTGCTAAATTACTAAAATGTAAGGCAGACAGTACAGAGCCATCCAGGAAGATTCTTGCTGTCCGGACAACCAGGTACTTCCGCTCTCCAAGGCTGATATGTGAATACTCACAAAGCCGCCGGCCCAGATGGCATCTTTGGTCGTGACCTCAGTGTGTGCTGACCTGCTGGCGGGCGTTTTCTCTGACATCTTCAACCTGTCCCTGTCCTAGGCTGTAGTCCCCACCTGCTTTAAGGAGACCACCATCATCCCAGTGCCCAAAAAAAAACATGACATTCCAAAATTACTATCGCCCGTTGCGCTAACCTCGGTCATCATGAAGTGCTTGGAGAGGCTGGTCATGGCCCACATCAAGGTCACCATGCCAGGCACACTGGACCCACTCCAATCTGCCCACCGCTCCAAAAGATCCACGGAAGATGCCATTTCTAACCCTATTCACACGGCCGTAACACATTTGGACAAAAGGAACACCTACGTGAGAATGCTGTTCATTGACTATTGTTCTCTCTGAGCTTGACACCAAGCTCCAAGCCCTGGGTCTGGACAACACCCTCTGCAACTGGATCCTGTACTTCCTGACGGACAGACAACAGGCTGTGAGGATTGGCAACAACTCCTCCACTACTCCTCAGTCCTCTGTTGCACTCCCTGTTCACCCACGACTGCGTGAACTTTGCCCCTCACCAACTCCCAGTTTGCTGATGACACCACGGTTGTAGGTCTGATAACCAACAACGACGAGTCAGCCTATAGGGAGGCGGTAAGTGAACTGGCATTGTGGTGTCATGAGAACAACCTCTCCCTCAATGTCAGCAAAACAAAATAATTGATTGTTGACTTAAGGAAGCAGAGGAGGGAACATGCCCCGATCCACATCAATGGGACTGTAGTAGAGAGTGACAAGTTTTTTTTAAATTCCTCGGCGTCCACATCACCAAGGACTTGTCATGGACCAACAACAGCGTCTCTACTTCCTAAGGCGTCTCTACTTCCTACGGCGGGTCCTCTCCAAATACTACCGCTGCACCATCGAGAGTGTCCTGACCGGTTGCATCACAGCCTGGTACAGGAATTGCTCCATCCACGACCGCAAGGCCCTCCAGCGGAGAGTGAAGACGGCCCATCACTGGGACCGTGCTCCCACCCATCCAGGACATCACTGGGACCGTGCTCCCACCCATCCAGGACATCACTGGGACCGTGCTCCCACCCATCCAGGACATCTACTCAAAATGGTGCCTGAGGAAAGCACACAGCATCAAGGAACTCACACACCCCAGCCATGAGCTGTTCACTCCTTTACCATCAGGCAGACGGTATCGGAGCATGAGGCCTGATACCAACGGGCTCAGAGACTGTTTCTATCTACAAGCCATCAGACTGCTGAACACTTGAACTGGACTGACCATCTACTCTGATTCTCCGCACTTAGCACACATCACAACTGCTTCTACCAGACTCTTATTATACTGCTTGTGTAAATATTGTACTATAAATTGTGCCTTCTTGTATTATACTTATACAAAAATGTACTTTGTTGTTTTTCTTATTTCTCATTGTTGTTGCATTACCGAGAAGGAACCTGCAAGTGAGCATTTCATTGGATGATGTATACCATGCATATCCCGTACATGCGACTAATAACTTGAAACTTGTTGCTGTCTTTAACCATGTAACAATGTGTACCTACCTACACTGTAATTACATTGTACGCATCCATGTAAATACATAGGGACATTGGCACCTGATGTTCTTTTGTTGTGGTTCACAGGCGGCTCTAGCCCACCTGGAGTCCCTGGCCATCGACGTGGAGCAGGCCCACCCTCCGGCTACAGAACAGATCATAGAGTGTCTGCCTCAAATCACTATATTGGAGGACCCCAGTGGTAAGTTCACAGTGCTAGAAGACCACAGTGGTAGGACCACATCTTCTTATCCTAACAGACTGGCCCTTCCCTCCGCTCCCTTTGAATTGGCTGTATTGTTAATGTGTGCAATTGCCCTTTTTGCATTGGCAACAATAGACTGTCATTCTGGGTGTAAGTAGTGAAATACTGCTAAATGTGCAATATATTCAAGGATTCCATGAATGTCATAATTCACAATGACCTTTGAAAAAGATCAAGCAAAACCATATTTCCAGTGGTGGAACGAGTAAGATTAGTTATTTTAATTTTGACATGTGCTAACTACTGTAAATGGCCTAACTAATGCAATGGTTAATACCAACATGGAGTGCCTTTTGTATCAGGATCAAAAGACATGTAATTAGTGGGACCATCCACTCTGTAAATCCCCACCCTCAGTCTTGTACTCAGTTTTACTATTAGCCGACCGGACCAGCAGTCCAGGCCAGACTGACTGTCTGAAGAAACCAGCTGCTAATATATAGACTCTAATATATACAGTGGGGAGAACAAGTATTTGATACACTGCCAATTTTGCAGGTTTTCCTACTTACAAAGCATATAGAGGTCTGTAATTTTTATCATAGGTACACTTCAACTGTGAGAGACGGAATCTAAAACAAAAATCCAGAAAATTACATTGTATGATTTTTAAGTAAATAATTTGCATTTTATTGCATGACATAAGTATTTGATCACCTACCAACCAGTAAGAATTCTGGCTCTCACAGACCTGTTAGTTTTTCTTTAAGAAGCCCTCCTGTTCTCCACTCATTACCTGTATTAACTGCACCTGTTTGAACTCGTTACCTGTATAAAAGACACCTGTCCACACACTCAATCAAACAGATTCCAACCTCTCCACAATGGCCAAGACCAGAGAGCTGTGTAAGGACATGAGGGATAAAATTGTAGACCTGTACAGGGCTGGGATGGGCTACAGGACAATAGGCAAGCAGCTTGGTGAGAAGGCAACAACTGTTGGCGCAATTATTAGAAAATGGAAGAAGTTCAAGATGACGGTCAATCACCCTTGGTCTGGGGCTCCATGCAAGATCTCACCTCGTGGGGCATCAATGATCATGAGGAAGGTGAGGGATCAGCCCAGAACTACACAGCAGGACCTGGTCAATGACCTGAAGAGAGCTGGGACCACAGTCTCAAAGAAAACCATTAGTAACACACTACGCCGTCATGGATTAAAATCCTGCAGCGCACGCAAGGTCCCCCTGTTCAAGCCAGCGCATGTCCAGGCCCGTCTGAAGTTTGCCAATGACCATCTGGATGATCCAGAGGAGGAATGGGAGAAGGTCATGTGGTCTGATGAGACAAAAATAGATATTTTTGGTCTAAACTCCACTAGCCGTGTTTGGAGGAAGAAGAAGGATGAGTACAACCCCAAGAACACCATCCCAACCGTGAAGCATGGAGGTGGAAACATCATTCTTTGGGGATGCTTTTCTGCAAAGGGGACAGGACGACTGCACCGTATTGAGGGGAGGATGGATGGGGCCATGTATCGCGAGATCTTGGCCAACAACCTCCTTCCCTCAGTAAGAGCATTGAAGATTGGTCGTGGCTGGGTCTTCCAGCATGACAACGACCCGAAACACACAGCCAGGGCAACTAAGGAGTGGCTCCGTAAGAAGCATCTCAAGGTCCTGGAGTGGCCTAGCCAGTCTTCAGACCTGAACCCAATAGAAAATCTTTGGAGGGAGCTGAAAGTCCGTATTGCCCAGCGACTGCCCCGAAACCTGAAGGATCTGGAGAAGGTCTGTATGGAGGAGTGGGCCAAAATCCCTGCTGCAGTGTGTGCAAACCTGGTCAAGACCTACAGGAAACGTATGATCTCTGTAATTGCAAACAAAGGTTTCTGTACCAAATATTAAGTTCTGCTTTTCTGATGTATCAAATACTTATGTCATGCAATAAAATGCAAATTAATTTCTTTAAAATCATACAATGTGATTTTCTGGATTTTTGTTTTAGATTCTGTCTCTCACAGTTGAAGTGTACCTATAATAAAAATTACAGACCTCTACATGCTTTGTAAGTAGGAAAACGTGCAAAATCGGCAGTGTATCAAATACTTGTTCTCCCCACTGTAGACTCACATATATATATTACGCAGAGCACTCTGCTCATTAGTCTGTATGAAATGGATCATAAAAAAAAAGTATTCAGCAGGCTGAGTTTGTCTCAACACATCGACGCATTCCATATGGAAATATTCCGCTGTTACTGATCCGATGTTGATTCATGTGGTGTCAAGATAAGAAATAACTTGCAGTGCGTAAAGCAATGCATAATATGAATGATGGGAACATAATGTAAATGTGTGAGAGGGGGGCAAGACAAAATGTATGCACCGGTGTCGCGTCAAGTTTCCCCGGGAATAAATCGCAGTATGCAGGCGTCGAGGCAAGATGGCCGCCATTCGTCATGCCATGTCGGAGCGAGCGGTTCCATCTGTGTGCTTGTGGATCGACTGAATGGAGTCTGATGGAATGTAAACGTGTGGGGCTGTGAATACAGAACAGAGTGGATGAGGCCGGGGCTGCAGAACATGAAGTGATAGATGGCCCAGCGCCGCTCTCTGACACTTATGATTTAGTTCTTCTTGTGCGGCTCTTTATCCTTGTCTTTCTCGCTCCCTCGCCTTTCTTTCTCTCTTTCCTTTCTTCACCCTCTCTCTCTCTCTCTCTCTCTCTCTCTCTCTCTGTCTCTGTCTCTGTCTCTGTCTCGCTCTCGCTCTCTCGCTCTCTCTCTAGGGCAGGAACAGTGCTGTGCCATCTGCTGTGGTGAGTACGTCAAAGATGAGATTGCAACCCAGCTGCCGTGCCACCACATGTTCCACAAGATCTGCGTGACTCTCTGGCTCCAAAAGGTATGTGTGTGACTGACTGAATGAGGGCCTCTGTGTGTGTGGAGAATAACTTATTTTGAAGCCCATTTAGACTATCTTTTCTAAAGCGTTTATGTACATGGCCTGTACTGCACATCAGCATGTAATTGAAATGTTCTTTAAGTGATGAGGGTGGTGGCATCAGCCTATATTCAGTCTAGCTCCTGGCCTGTGTGTCAATGTATTTTGAGTGATGATATGAAAATGTTTATACTGATTTGTGGTATCTTCTCTCTCTAGTCTGGGACTTGCCCTGTCTGTCGTCACATTCTGTCGCCTGTTGTCATGGAGACCACTGCTAACACCTCGTTTGTGTCGGATCAGGACATCCCACCGTCCAATCACAGCGCAGCCGGAATGCGGTGAATTCACTGATGACCAATCAACAGCCAGAAAAGAAAAAGAGGCCTATAACACTTCAATGAAAATAAGTTCTTATTACTTTTTCTTTCATTGCCGCTCTCTGCAATGTAACTCTATGAATGAGATTGTTGATTTAGTTCTGCACATGTAAACAAGTTCAAGATGTCCGAGTGACAGTTCAGGCTTATTTTCTGAGAAAATATTATCTGTATAATGTCAAGTCTTTGTTACGAATGTATGTTTTAATGAAGGTTAGGAAATTGCCATTTTTGTTTTGCCTAGATTTGTTAAAGCGTCTCAGATTTTACTTGCACACATTTTTCAATACAGATGAAAGCATTGCTTATGTACCTCACATTGTACTCATTTCAAAATAATTTTAGTTCAATAAAGGCTGTAATGTGGGTAAGTCTTGGAAGAACTATCAAAATCAATGGAAGGCACTAACTTCCTTACGAAGAGATTGTATACATCCACTGTAGAATCCATTCAGATAACGCTGTTTATACAAGGAAGAGATTTAGCACACCACCATCTTTATTTACCCAACGTAAACCTCTGATTGCCTGTTGAATGGAAGAGGATAATCAACTATTTGTATTCTGAATATGGATTTAAAAGATGTTCATTAATTTCTCCACCTTCCCAAATCAAAGTGTAAAACAGAAATAACACGTGATGTTGAATTCAAAGAGCCAAAAAAGATTTTATTGCAAGTACACAGTATAAACATTGAGGTTTAGACAATGACTGGACATACTATGGTCATCAAGGTTGTGAAAGCTAACAAGGGGGCATATACAGGCGTTCCTTTCCAGGTGTGTAACGGCGAACACATTTAAGGACATTTTTCAATTACAACCACACTAGCTAGTTTTTATTTACTCTAATATGGGCTAAGTATAACAATTTGATAATCATTTTAAATCCAGTGCATTGTCCACTTGTTACTTTAGATATGGTCTTTATTAATAGGGAAGGATATGTTGGGCTAAACACTAGTTGACACAACAGTACTATTGTGCCTTGTCAGTGTCTTTTTAACATGGCCAAAAGTGCAATCAAAATATATAAGGTCTCTTGTGGCAATAAATATCCCAGCTCTTTAAATTAGTCTATGACACATAATCAAATAACAATATACTTTAGGAAAAGAAGGAGCTCAGTAATGCACATACCTTCGAATGCTGTAAAGTTGGCCTTGGGAGTACATACCAGAATGCTAACGTTAATGCAGCACAAGACATTCACATTGAATTGTGAAGCTTAAATATACTTTCACTCAAAAAACAAATGAGTAACAAAATGAAAGACAACTTCATTCAACACAAGTGTAATGTATTGACCAGTAATGTAGAGCAGATTTTAACTACTCATGGGGAAATCTAGACTTGGTACAAGAAGAATACAAATTAAAAAACAAATTAAACCATAGAACAAATTCTATAAAAACAAATGCAAATATTTTTATACAAAATGCTAAGGATACTATTTAAGTGTCTCAAATAAATAAGAGAGTTACTGAAAAAGGTGTATGCCTTTCAAATGTGTTTAAACAGATATCTTATTTGTGCTCATCAACCAGTAGTTAAGATGTAAGCACCCTTCGCCTATTCATTTTTCTTACTAGGTTGTCTGGAATGCTAAAAAAAAACAATTCAGGAGGTAATTTGACGAGAAATGAATGAACAACTGTTACACCAGTCTACAAACCAAAGGCAGTGTCTCAAATGACACCCTATTCACCATATAGTGTACTACCTTTGGCATATTAGTGCACTATATATGTGGAGTTGGGTGTCATTTGTGACACAGAAAGATGAGGATACAGCATAGGTGAGCAGGAGACATTGTATAAAGGATAGGAAAGAGGAGTTTTCCAAAAATCATTTATACATATACTAAAAATGTACAAACAATCATGACGATACAGACAATGTTTTCTTTATAGAATACATCATTGGAAGAAACACTTCCAATAGAGATACACACATAAAACGTGATCTACATTTGCATAAAAAAGTATTTACAAAATACAGGAGGAGGAATGTTTCATTTTAAAGTTTGGAAGACAAGAGTTCCATCATTCTAAT